AGCAGTGGCCTCTTCCCTTTACACAGCTCCAAACTGAAAACTTCCCACATCTCCAACAACACGAACTCGACCACGGTGACCTTTGCGACCTTCTCAGTAATAGCATACAACAATGGGAAGGCGAACCACAAAGCAAAACCAAACCAAAAGAAAAGCAAAAAATCACACAGGGCTGGAAGGCTAGAAACCGCCAAGAGGCGGCTCAACCAACTCAGACCCCCACAAGGCGCAGACTTGCTGGCGGACTCTTGAGGGGAGAAACCCTGCTCTCACCATTCTCTTCTCTTTCTCTCTCTTGCTCCCTGGCCGTGTGTATGCACAGGAGCACTTAGTATTCTTAGAAATTTGTATAAAGCCCTTTCTCAAAAATTGAAAATTTAATTTTATATCCCCTAAATTCTTATCGTAATTAGAAGCCCACTCTCATAAAAGTTTTTAGCTTCATCACTGGTTGTCCAGGTACTTTTAGAATTTGGAGCAATTTCGTGAAAATTTGGTTGTCATTCTGCTCCGATAACTCGCGGTGAAATTAATGTGATTCTATAAATATTGTTAATCTCTTCAGAAATATATCTTTTTTTTTCCTCCTTGGAAGCATGAAATGGATCAAGGCTCTTGATCATTATTTGTATCAATTGAATGCTGATTAAGGTAATGTCTCATATTTATCAGGAAGGGAACTGTGCTACAGATATGTTGGTTTCTACAGTAGTGCTCGTTTTTCTGTCATTGGTGGCTTTTTGCGTCGGATATTCATCTTCAGTTTGTTAGTAGGGATTTGTCTCTCTTGCCCTTTTTATTTTTATTTTTTATTTTTTTTTATTTTATTTTATTTTATTTTATTTTTTTGGTTTTCTCATTATGTTTAGGTCTTTTAGTCTTTGTTTTGCCCTAATAGTCAGTGGGCTTAAGACACCTCTCAAATTTTTTATTTTCAAAAATCTTATCTATTCAAATATGTATTGTACTATATTAATATACGCATAGCCCCGACCAATAATTTAAAAATTAATCTTATAGTCCTATTTAAATTTTGTTAGCTCCGTCAATGAACATTAACTGGCCGATGTAGATCCTCACGGACATTTTCTTTCTTTTGCTTTTTGCTCCTTTAATTTAGGAGTTGTTTCCTCATGTTTTTTTATGACTTTGTAATTTATTTTAATTGTATTATTAATAAAATGAAGATTGTGCCGTTTAAACGTTCCGGTGGGTGTCAATCTGATCAAGATATGCTTGAGCTTTTTGACATTAATTAATTTTCTCTATCTACATTCAGTATATATAAATATATACACCTACCATGCCGAGGATAATGATCATGACAATTTAAACATGATAATGTGACATAATTACTATATAAATTGATATAAAAAAGTTGGAAGGTAAACTTATTACCGACAAGTTTTTCTTTGGCCAAACAAAGAAAAAACAAAACAAAAAAATGATGTACTTTACAATAGTTCATATAAACTTTAAGGAAAGCAACCCATCTATAGCCAACGGATGAATAAATTCTGAGACTATTTTGGAACGTACATGAAGAGAAAAATAGTCATGTAATTGGATCGAGCAATAAATGTTATGTGTTTTGTTATGTAGAAAAAGCCACGTAGATATTCCTTTGGTGTATATATAGTCAATTTCCTTCATGAATTTCAATTTACTCAAATCAAGTGTGGGTCCGTTAAATCAAATGAAGAAAACGACATACATGTGGAGTTGTTTATCAACCACATATATATATATATATATGTATGATTGAAACGTGGATGAATATAACTTATGACTTCGAAAGTCTTTACATCAATAGTGATAATTTATTCGAACTAGTCACGTCTCAGAAAGGGGGCGCCACTAAATTAAAAATAAATGCAAAATTATCTGGATTTATATACTCTAAACTTAGAAATCCATCCTAATGAACCACTCGAAAATAATATTTCCCGTCTTGCAGGGTTTAGAAATTCGTAAATAATTTAAAAGTTCGAGTGCAAAACCTTTCCCAAAATATAAATATGTCATTGGGACTAGTCGTTTAGTACAATCTCCGTATAACATTTACAGAGCACTACAATTTAGGCCTCGTTCACTTCGCTGATTCGAGTTTAGAATTCGAGTTGAGATGTGATTTTATGTGAGAACTTTTTACTGTAGCAAAAAAGTTAGATGTGATTGTTTGTGAGAGCTTTTTACTGTAAAAAAACTCGAATTCTAAACTCGAATCAGTGAAGTGAGTGGGGCCTTAGTCACTCGATATCTCAATTCATTTCTAACAACGCTGAGAATTTCTATCACCGCTTGACAACTCTAAGTCAGATCATAGTCCTCTTTAGCCACGAACTATCTGTAATAGACTCTGAATTTAGCATTTTTCTTTAGACAAAATATTTAAACGCTAAAAATATGAGGGAAAGCCCCATAGGATGATTATTATTTATCCCTTTCTTAATAATTTTAAAGGTTATTGGCTTAAAATGAAATTATGGGATTTGATGTATTCCTAATTGAGAAAATATAATAGTCGTGAATCATGAGTAGTACTATCCAAGGTACATTCTCACTGTAGTTGAATAGATTTTGGGATTAGGTGCGTTATATGATAACGACATAATAATTAAACTTGAAAATGCCAAGTGCTTATTATATGTGCACTTTAACAAAAGGAAAGATAAAGGAAGCTGCGTTGAAACTTCCTTGTGTTGGACTCTTGCAAAATAGATTCACATCATTTCATTAAGACCACTTCGCCTTCCAGTTCCACTATATATTCATTCAATTTTGAATTAAATAAGTTGATACCGCACGCGCAAGCGAACGAGGTTTTCTAGATAAAAATAAAAAACACATTTATTAAGATCTCATTTAATGAAATAAATTAAAAAAATGTGTAATGGGACCAAAAGAAAAAAAATAAAAAAGAGGAAGATAAAAAAAAAAAAGAAGAAGAAGAAGAAAAGAGAGGGGAAAAGGAATGAAAATGAAACAAAAAAACAAAACAAAAAAGTAACCACCTACACATAACGTTTTATTAAGAAAACATGATTTAAAAAATAGACAGTGGCATATATAAGAAGAAATTATTTGAACGTGGAATTAAAGACAAAAGTATATTTATGTGGACCAATTCGGAGAAAAAAAATATATGTATAATGGAGTAAAAAATATAAAAATAGAAAAAGGAGAGGGAAAAGGAAAAAAAAAAAAAAAAAGTAGCAAAATATTACCAAAAAGAAGGCGCTAGCGAAACGTTTTATTAGCTCCAACTTAAAAACTCAATCTCCTTTTATATGTATGTATAGAGATATAGATTATATAGATATAGATATAACTTTTTTTAGGAAAAAAATATTACCTACTTCACTAATTATCATATCAAGGGATAACATTTTGAGGCTTACAATCAAATTAGCCGTCGTCGAAATTATATAGGGACTTCGTTTAGGTTAGAGAAAGTAATAGTATTGAAGAAAGGAAAAATATCGCAATCAGGTTTGCAGCTAATTCTTTACATGTCTCGTACTAAACCTCCCGCTTGAATTTTATAAAAAATTAAATTAAATTAAATTAAATTAAATTAAAAAATTAAAACGAAGATCTGAGTTAATATCCAGATGACAGAATTAAGCAAAAACCTGAAGAGAAAAATAATTCTAATAACTAAAACAAAGAGAAACTAACTAAACAATAGACATCGGGATATTTCACTTTACCTTAATAAGGAAAGGTCTCATTAAAAACCTTTGCCAGTAAAATCCTGTGGGAAAAATTTGACAAAAGAAAAAAAAAGAGTGTTGCTGAATCTTCTAGTCTCCAGAAAATATTTTAATCTTGTTTAAGGGCTTCCTGACGCTAATTACACGTTCCTAAATCCTAATTTATCTTGAAGGATTCACTGGAATGAATTTAGTTTGAAGGATCAATTCAATGAATTTAGTAGCCACATTATTTTTGCTGATTATGTGTATGTATCTATATATATAAATACATATACATATATATGCATATACATGTATATAAATATGAATATCATTATATGTACGTATATATATATATATATATGCATATATGTATGTGTGTGTATGTAGGCATGTATGTATGTATGTATGTATGTGTATATATATTTCAGCTCTCATACATACGTTCAGAAATGCTGGCCTAATGTGTGCATGCATTGATTTTGCTATAGCTTTACTCAGTAGTACTACTCATTGTACCGAAGTATCCAGAGCAGGAATCCAACACAGTACTGTCCAATTCCCTTTGTTAGAAAGTAATAAATTAATGGGAAAAGGAATTAGTTAAGGAGATTATCTTCGCTTCTTATATATCATCCAGAATATTGTCCATGTCTTCATTATATGATTTAGACCCACATAAAGGAAGTTCCAACATTATTAATACTCGCTTTCTGAGCTGTAATGATGGGATCCACTTCATCTTTTCATTGAATAATCACAACCGCAAAATTGGGTGCATATATAATTCCACTTGTATATATATATATATATATATATGTATAAGGGTTGTTCTTGGTGACTTGATAAGTGATTAATATATATATATATATATATATACATAAATGTTAGCACAGAACCCAGATTTATTCTATTGTATGCGTGAGACACATGGACGTAGACACCACCAACATCATATGGCATCTTTTTGGCATTCGCAAAGTTTGTCAGTTAGTAAAATTGCAAATAGTATAGCAAAGTGACGTTTTGAGGCTCAAACTGCCCAATACAATCTACCGACAAATCACTTCTCACTGAATTTTGCCGTCTTTACAAGTTTTTACCTCCAAACTTTATGCACAAAACAACGAACAAAATAATGTTCCGAACGAACGAGGAAAATTCCAAAACATGTACGAACGAAATCATTTTGGAGTGGTGAATTAGTAAATTCATATTAATTTTTTTGTTCAAAAAAAAAAAAAGGTTCTATATATTAACAACAAATCACAATGGATCATACTACAACTCCTCCATGCAATTTCCCGGAAGGAGAAGCCACAATCCGAGATGCGAAGCTCACAACACTCAGAAGAAAAAACAGGACAAATATTAAATTATTAGCTAGGATTCATTATTCGATTGCCTTTAATATATAAATAGCCTTTCACTCTCTTCCTATTCTCTTCATCCTCATCAAACTCCAAAAGCCTTTTATATCGAAATATTAGTACTACTATTACTAGTATTATAGCAAAGTTTCCATTTTTTCTTTTTCTTCATAATTAATATGCAGACTCTAGACAACATTCATCACAACTTAGTGGATTTTGAAGACTACTTTCCTTCCATGATAACTCGCATGGGAAACGAGGGCTTCATATGGGAACTCTGCAACGGTTTTCGCCTTTTGATGGACGTCGAAAAGGGCCTGATTACGTTCGAGAGCTTGAAGAGGAACTGTGTTCTCTTGGGGTTGCATGATCTGCGAGACGACGAGCTCGTTTGCATGTTGATGGAGGGAGATTTGGACGGCGACGGGGCGCTTAACCAGATGGAGTTTTGCATTCTCATGTTTAGGTTGAGCCCCGGCTTGATGGATTATGGATCCAAGCAGTGGGGGGTGGATGAATTAGAAGTCATGAATGTATGAAGAGAAAAAAAAAAATAATCATGTGGTTAATTAATTTAGCGCTAATTTTATGATCATGACATTCCTAATAAGTTCTTGCTTTATGTTCTTGTAATTTGTATCGATGCAATTTCTGTAGTTGTATGAAATAAGAGGCTCTCTTTATTTCCTAATCTATGTGTTTGTCTGGTCCAGATTTTGCTGTAGTACGTTCCTTTGCTACTTCGAAAATAGTAGTACTATACGAACCAGATCAAGTTCCTATAAGAATTAAGGTAACCTCATTTTCTTTTCATGAACTGAGAGATGAACTGAGAGATGATAACTAGCATCAAAGAAAAAAAAAATCACATCCCAAAATTAGATCAATTAAAATTAATCATATCGCGTCTTAGTACTATAACCTCCTGTGCACCGAAGTTCCAAAGTCCTAACATAGTAAAATGCTGTTTTGGCTTTTCAATTTGCAGTCCAGATATCTTACTCTCAAATAACCAGAAAAGGAGTTAAGGATATCAATCATACCACCATTTTTATAAGTACTTATAAGTACATCATGAGTCATCTGTTGATTATCGCAATGTAGAAAGGCTACAAGAATTATGAGAGCTTACTCATGATAATTATTATATAGGTAGAATTTCAATAAACTTAATATAGATACTAGACTTCTATAGTGTAGTAGCTAACTATTAATTTGTACATTTATTTCTTAGGAGAGAGATATGCATGGCCATGTACTGGGAAACTTGAAATTTTCATGAAACGTGGACATGCACCATATTTACGTAAACATACGAAACGTTCAGTGACGGATCTAAGAATTGAATTCAGTGAAGGCACACGTTAAGACATTTTTTATTCAAAAAAAAAACTTCACAACATCTTATGAATAATATTAAATTGCATACTTTATAGGGCAGTAATTGATCATTGCAAAAGAAAAGGAACATAAAAGAAAAGAAAAAGAAATATAAACTAAGAGACACAAAGAGCCAGTCTGCATGTGAAACATGAAAAAGAAAATGAAAAAACAAAAAATAATACTGAACGTCAAGGGAAAACAAAGCATAAACAAAACCCAATTTAACAGGAAAAAAAAAAGAATAAATAATGGCAGTAAGTAGAATGTAATAGGACAAAATTATAGTGATGTATAAAACTAAAGTGACATTTAAAAGAGAAAAAAACAAAACAAAACAAAACAATAAAAAGAACAAGTCTAATACATCGCCCAAAACTAAAAGTAACCAGAATATAAGAAAAACATGTATATTGATTGCTAAAATTACTGAGAGCACACTTAAATAATATATAAAAATCAATATGTAAGTATATACATAACTTTTTTTTAAATTTCCTCATGAGGGACGTGCCCCACTATCCCCCCAGAATACGACCCTGGAAACTGTTTTATTATAATCTAAATGAAGTCCTACTGATCATCCATGTTTTTCATTAGTCATGTTTATTTATCATCATGAAGGTTCTAATTCTTGGACATTATCAATGCTTTTCCTTCTTTTCTTCTTTTTTCCTTTTGGTTTCGATCGACTTCGACTTTTCTTACGTGTGGTCTCTTACGCGTGGTCTTAATCTGTGCTTGTGTTGGATGATTTTCTGCCCAGGAAAGTCATGATCATGTTCGTCGTGTATAAACGGAAACCGACGGCACATTACCAGAATGCACAAAGCCACATGAACAATACGACAAGACATGATATGTAAGATTATATCCAAGAATTATTGAAGCTGGTCCACAGAATTTTTTGATAAGACTTCTAAAGCAATTTTTAATTAGATTACAAATCATTATTAGGACAAATCTTCATGACGTTTTAAACTTATAATATTGCAAAAAAAAAAAAAAAAAAAAAAAAAAAAACCCAATAAATCCTAAATGATTAACTTTTTAGAGATATATAATATCTACGAATTAATTAAGATTTAAGGGGGTCCCTATTTTAAAGTTACTTTAACCAACACTCGTTCACATTAAAAAATTACAGATATACTTTGTGTCGTGCCATGTGGTTAGCTGGTATCAGATTGAGCTAATTACAAGGTCTTTCTTTTCCTGTTTATCTGGAAGGGAAAAAAGATAGAGAAAGGTTTTGAAGATTTTCTATTTTTCTATTTTGTTTGCTTGGCCAAGAGAAAACGATAATACTTTATGATATGCTCTTGATTCCTCTGCTTATAATTAAAAAAATGCATAACCAATTGCTTTCTCTCTTTTTTTTTTTTTTGCTAAAGTGCTTTTCGGCCGTTTGTCTTCTGATATTGTGGCTTTACGACCACTTCCACTTTTTTCCTGTTACATCAAACTTTACCGCCATAATCCAGCTTGAATGACGGACGTGACCTTGAAATTTCCAAATAAGTATTATTATTACAAATGCAAACTTTCAATTCTAAATGATACAACAGTAATTTCCACCACAGTCAATGCAAGCTTACGACAGCTCTCCGCCATACTCTTTGGAGTAGCAACACTAGTGTGTGTCTACACAAACATACACATATTATAAGTATTGTTTTAATAATTATTTTAATATTTACTCATTAATAAAAAAATTTATTTTAAATATAAGATATTCATCTTTTTATGTTATCAATCTTATATATTTAATGAATAATTATATATCAAAATGTAACTTCTATATAATATATATAGGAGAAGTCTCAGTCTAATACCGAATTGGAGCAGCAGCTATTTAGGAAAAATGTAAAATTTTAGCGTGATTATTACTCATTAAGAGTTGACTCAAAGTCCCATATGATGAAAAGCAAAACTTTTTCTCCTGCTTCAAGCATGTATGTTGCGGATTTACTTCATCATAGAGTTTTTAGTCTGCAAACCCTCGTACATATCCTAAAACGACATGCGTTATGCCTTCAGTATTAAATGATTTTTAATATATTGACTACTTCACCATCTTTCAGTAACTTTTTTCAATTTCTTATATTGCTTTTGTCAACCCTACTAAATTAGCTTACCCCTCTGCCGGAAGGAAAAAAAAAAAAAAACAAAAATTACATTTAAACAAAACCGCCCATTTAAAATCTAACGGTTGTATTTTAATGTGCTGACTGGTCAGTCTTAATTTCACTGTCTGATCGGAGACTATTCCTATATATATATATATATGAAGGAAAGGCCGCCACGTACATATTGCTCCCTTACAAAATGGTTCTGCTCTTCTTCTGTTTTGTTTATGATTAAAGTTACTAAAATTCAAGAACCAATTATAGATTAAGTTCAAACCATACGTAAATTAAAAAGATCTCTTGAGCCTATCCCGTGTAGTATTTAAGTTGTAATTTCCGGGAAGGAGAAGAAGCTTTGTCACGAGTAACAAAGTTGCTAGCTACCAAAAGTAAGAGAAAGGTGTAACAAGCTCACCACAAAACAAATTAGGCCATTAAATTGTAGCTGGCTAGCTTCCTATCTCATTTTCTATCTTTACCTGCTTTTTTTTTTTTTTTTTTGTGTGTTGTTAAACATCCTTCACTTTCCTCGAACTCCACACCCTTATAAATGTCTGTCTAGTTGTTTACACCTTTTTTTCTCCCTACTTCGTGATTGATTGTTCAGTATCATGAATACATTAGTCTAATAAGATTATATTATTTAAACATTTTATTTATATTAATTTTTTTATTTTTTTAATAAGTTATTAAAATAAAAAAAATGAGTAGAATAATAAATATTTTTAACTTAATAATCAATATAAATACTTTTTAAAAAAAAATTAAAAATTAACATAAATAAAAATATTTAAATAATATAATTTTATTAAATAAATATATTATATAAATAATATGACGTGGTACACTTGAATAATTTCTCCTCCTTCGTTCATGCCCCTTTCGATCTATGTCTCTCTCTCTCTGAATCTTTCTCTATCTTTACCTGGTTTTTTTTTTTTTGTTTTTTTTTTTTTTTGCTGTTAAATATCCTTCACTTTCCTGGAACTCCACACCCTTATAAATGTCTGTGTCTAGTTTACACCTTTTTTTCTCCCTCCTTCGTGTCCCTTTCGATCTCCGTCTCTCTCTCTGAATCTTCCACTCAGCTGTTGCACTACACTACAAATCAAGATATATATATATATATATATATATATGCGCGCGCGCGTGTATATATTATATACACACACCCACCTTTCTTTAATATTCACGTGCAACTCGCCTTCTATAAAATTACCATAATGAGGAATCCCTTTCTTTTTTTCCTTTTACTAGCATAGAAGTTTGCGTTATATAAAGCCAATAGTATCATGGTTGCGTTCATGCAGTTCCACGTTTTTTTTTTTTTTTTGGTGATGAATAGTTGCAATTTGTATTTACACGGAGACTAGGTTTGGTATATCCATGATGATAAGTAAGGGTTTTGCTTTCAAAAGTTTACACAGTTACTAGGGCCTCATAATAAAACTCGTGTAAGAAGCTTCGACCACAATATATAAGCTTGTTCAAAAACATATATTTGCGTGGACGAGTGAGAGATGAGTTTGAAATTGTGGTGATCGAGTCTTTGAAAAGTGTTGTCCTGCCTTTGGAAATTCCTCTGCGCGTTTGAGAGCACCGATCGATTAGATTGGTGTTTTGACCCACTTTAACTCTTAAGATTTGGAAATTCGATTTTCGCTCCAAAATTCGAAGTTGTGATGTTCTTTTAACTAACTCAAATCACAACTCACACTTTTCACTATAATATTTTCTCACATAAAAATTTAAATGTAATTCTTTTACTACAGTATTTTCTCTTACATAGTAAACTCAAGTTCTCGACTAAGTTCGAGAAAAGAATGTAGTAACGAGTGTTACCCACCTAAGTTTGTCGCAAGAGTGTACCCTTATTGATTGTGGGCATTGTATCCTTAAAGGAGCAACGTCGCAACCTTCTCTTTCCTTTTAGCTCTTCATCTATTAGCTATTTTACGTCCAACCTCACTTTAGTCAATTCTAACCTCAGTCGTCGACCTCAATCTAGCTATCCCTCCTTGCTTGGTCCCAAACCTTATCTCTACTCTCCTCCTCGCTTAATTATCTTGGCTTGATGACATTTATAGAGCATCAAGCTAGCACTGCATCGATGGCGGAGCTACATTACATCCCACGGCGGCTTAAGCCCCCTCTCAATTTTTTTTTTCTTTTATTTTTAACA